TTTTTTTGAAATGTTGCATTTGGTGCATATTAGCATGATGTTTCTATTATTTATTGATTTCTTTGTGATACAGTACACTGTGATGGCGTCATAATTAAAACTTCATTGTCGTTAGTGTGCAGTGGCACATGAAGTCATATTTCAACATAAAAGCTTTTAGGCACAACTAATAGCTTAATATCTGTTTATTGATTGCTATCCATGAATTTTCACTTGCGCCTTAGGGCAATTTTCTGCAAAGTTCTGGAATTATTGTAGAACAAAAATAAGTCAAGATAAGAATCACCGCTTTAAGTTTACTGCCTTTTTTCAGTATATTAAATGACGGTAGCTCCATTTTTCCTTTCTTTGGAGAGTCGGATGGTGATCTTCTAGTTTTTGCGTTGACATATTCAGATGAAATCAAATGACGCTGTGCAGCAACCTGTAATTAGGAAGCCACTCCTAAAGATTGTGCGAAAAGATTTTTGTGTTTTGTGAACCTTGCAAACTTCGCGCAAGTTATCCAGATCTTCAGAAGATGGTGGTCCAGACTGCTTACCGCTATCACTACTCTTACGCTTGCTTCTATCTGTCTTCTTGAAGCTACTATTTCTAAGTTCTTTAAGCAAATGATTAGGCTCCACCGGCTTTGACTTTGTGTTCATATCCCGCACTGGTGATGTAGCTGCTGACTGTCCACCGGCTTCGGCAAGAAACTTCTGCAAAATGCGTGGTAACATAACCCGTACAATGTATCAAAATCAACAGTTTGCGGTAAACCTCCATGGCTTCGATGGCTTCTTTCTCTACCGGTCGTTCGATCACCAAGTTAACTGTACCTGTTCTCTGCAAAGGACGCGTCTACTCCTCCTTTTCCCAAAATTTCAATAAAAATTTACCTGAAGGGATTTCACCAACATTTCTCGACAAACATCCCTATCTGCTACTTGCGTTCCATTAACATCTATTATACGATCCAATCGTTTTACTATATTATCACATATTGAATCTAAATACTGTGTAGCAAGTAGATAATAATGCATTCGTAAGCAAACGTGCTACCTTTTTGTGATTTGCTAACAACTACTTGATCTTTGTGAGTCTTAATACCCAAACCAAATCGTCTACCCTTGACGTGATCTATCTCTACTAGTCCATATTTGAATCTGAAAAGTACTGCATATAACAGGAGATACTGTGGCCACTGAAGAACCTATGAAAGTGGTAGATTCAATGGAGTCTTTCTACTTCACTTTCTTAGCCGATCGGTCTACTTTGCACACAAGTGAGGAACCTACATATGTGAAGAGTTTCGCAGTGTGGACATTGCCAAAATGACTTTGACTACCAGACAGAATGAAGGGCACAAAACTAGTGTTATAAATTGGCTCACTTTGGTTTTCAGCTGTTATCAGGATTCCTAGTCTTCTACCAGAAAGACTTTAACTTTTGCCCTTACACTAAAAGTTACTTCAGTGAAGCAATTTACAGATTTTTGTCTTCATTTCAAAAAGCCAACTTGACGCACGTTGTATTCTCCTTCTAATTTGAAACCTTCTTTCTGCTTGCATACTCACCCTTTTTTCTTGATTATATTTTTATTTCTCGCAGTTGGGACAGGTTGCATAGACTCGGACACATCACTCTAAAAAACACCAGCCGTCCATTTTAGCCACTCCTTCTTTCCGCTCATCGCACCTCTTGAAGTTCTTCCGTGTCCAGCTGAGTGGATTGGCAGCATCTAGTTTTCCAACTTCTCGACATAGTACGCGTCAGTACGAATAAGCCACGCTCTGTTTGAGATGGCATTTATATAATGAGAAATTCTTATCACTATCTGGATAGATGATATTTTTTCATTCGACCGATTTCTATATCTAATGAGTACTCAAAAAGCCGATGTTTACCGCCACAAATCAAGATCACGGCTCAATTCGAGGCCTAAGGCTCAAATTAATACGGTATTTCTTTTCGACATCATAATTTCAAAACCAAAAAGGTGACTATTATCTGTGTGAGAATTAACATTAACAATCTACAATATCGATATAACTTGTGCAAAGAAGACATCATTAAAACTGCCTCGAAAAAAATTTGAGTAAATCAAATGTGTATAATGTAACACCTAAACATTTTACCAGAGACTGCCATGCAAGATAGATATGTAGTTCGGGACCAGCATATCAGACAGTTCAGTAGGCCACTTCACAACTCACAGCGATGGATGCACGATTTTTGACTTAAAATGCCGAAACCTGAGAACTCTTTATAGTTTCAAATAGTGAGGTTTGTCATGCTAATCACGAATATATAAGCTTCACTCGGCGAGGCCTCACTGTAGTTCTACTCAAGTGTGCGGTTGGAAGTCAAAATCTCGGATTTGCTTGAAGAGTGTTCTCCTGTAGTTATTTGATATTCTGAACAAATATAACGTCACAATTACATGACAGCGCCTTATTGTGGAGATACGGTAGGTGTATAGAGTTAAGTCAGACATAGATTCTTATAAACATGCCTAGAAAAGGGGTTTACCCAAAAAAATGTATCAGCACTGTCTAAGGCTCAAACGTCTGTAGAAAACTTTATGAATTGCAGTTGTGAAGTTGAACTAAACACCTATAGAAAATGGCAGCTGAATGGTAAAGAAAGGGTCGTAATTTCCTCCTATTAAACTTAAAGATAGAAGTAAAGGATATCAAAGTAGTCTATGATGAAATCGCATTGTAAGATTTGACCAGCCGTGTTTCTACGGTGAAACGCCACGGTAATAACTATTTGTGATCAGTGTATTAAGTAAAATACTTACTTAGTAGACACTTAGATGGCCTGTCTTCACTTGTCGTGCAGGCCACAGCACTGTTTCTATCTGTTTCTGTCTCTCGCTAGCGTCATCCACGATGTTGGTATTGAACTGCGGCGTTCGCGAGGTCAGATCCATTACTCGTTACCAGCTGAGAACTCAGTTGGTCCATCCGTGCAACGAACACGTCAGCCCATCTGATCGGTGACCTCCCTCGAGGACGTTTTGCTTCGCGAGGAATTCATTCCAGAGTTCATAGTGTCCATATGTCGTCTGTCCTTCTCATTATATGACCAGCCCATCCTTTGCCTTAGAGACGTATTCCGCTGGATCCCGA